ACTTGTGGACTTCAACTCCCAGAATTCCTCAGCCAGCGTGCCTGGCTGAGGAATTCTGGGAGTTGAAGTCCACAAGTCATAAAAGGGCCAAGTTTGAAGACCTCTGGCTTATGTGATAGGGGTAAGGGAGTTTTGCCCCCAAAATAACATCCAACCTCAGTCAGCTTAGCAGAATCTATGCCCTAGATCAGGGGTAGGCGACCTTGGCTCTTTTATGACTCGTGGACTTCAACTCCCAGAATTCCTGAGCCAGCCACGCTGAGGGGGAAGGGAGAGTTTCCATGCTGAGCCATGCTGGCTCAGGAATTCTGGGAGTTGAAGTCCACGAGTCACAAAAGGGCCAAGGTTGCCTACCCCTGCCCTAGATAGCCTAAAAATGTGACCCATTTATGTCTTTACAATAAGTTTCTTCCCCTAAGGGATTGCAGGTCTAAAAAAGTCAAAAACTGTTTCATCTCCCTGCCAACATTTCATCACACAATGGATACAAGATTTCCAAAGCTGGATTTATTTGAAAATTCACTATTTTTCTCAGATGGGTGTGTTACAATACCCTCCTGAATGATATGCTTGGCTGTATAGTGCAGTCCCTCGCAATTTTCTGTGGTTATTTCGTAAATTCTAAACCAAAGGAAGCTCCAGGGAAGTTCTTTTGATGGATAATTCCACTTCATGTTGACATTCAGCTGTGGTCTGCTCTTGTAGAGCAGAGTTCTCGACTGACAACAGTTGATTTAGTGACTGTTCGAACTTACAACAGCACTGAAAAGAGTGACTTAGGATAGCTTTTCACACTTACGACCAGTGCATCTCCATACTTACGTGATCAACATTCAGACACTTGGCAACTGACTCATATTTATGACAGTCACGGTGTCCCGGGGTCATGTGATCCCCTTTTGTGACCTTCTGACAAGCTAAGTCCATGGGTTGTCACTTAACAACCAGGATTACTAACTTATCAACTGCAGTGATTCACTTAGCAACTGCGGAAAGGAAGGTTGTAAAATGGGGAGGAAAATTCACTGAACCAATGTCTCACTTAGCAGCAGAGCTTTTGGGCTAAAATTGTGGTCGTAAGTCGAGGACTGTTTGTATTAGGGGAGTATCCTTCTCCACATCTCAGCAAAATCTCCCAGGCTAGGGAGTTTCGTAGCAAACACCACGATTATTCTAAATGTACCATTGTCCTTCAGCCTTGACCAGAAAGATTATGATAAACTTATCTAAAGCAACAAGGACCGATTGTAAGTCAACTCTTTCAAAGTCATTGTAACTTCAGCGAAGGGCTTAAGTCGAGAACTTCCTGTGTATCCCTCTTTTCATAGCGTGAAACACGTGTTTGTCAGTTCCTCAAAGCAAGGAGGTTTCTACCACACTCAAAAACATCCATTTGTTGTGAAGTTGTGTCTGACCCATCGCGACCCCATGGACAACATTCCTCCAGGCCTTCCTGTCCTCTACCATCTTCTGGAGTCCATTTAAGCTCACGCCTACTGCTTCAGTGACTCCATCCAGCCACCTCATTCTCTGTCGTCATCTTCTTCTCTTGCCCTCCATCTTTCCCAGCATTAGGCTCTTCTCCAGGGAGTCCTTCCTTCTCATTAGGTGGCCAAAGTACTTGAGTTTCAACTTCAGGATCTGGCCTTCTAAGGAGCAGTCGGGGTTGATCTCCCCTAGGACTGACCGGTTTGATCGCCTTGCAGTCCAAGGGACTCGCAGGAGTCTTCTCCAGCACCAGAGTTCAAAGGCCTCCATTCTTTGGTGCTCAGCCTTTCTTACGGTCCAACTTTCACAGCCATACATTGCAACTGGGAAAACCATGGCCTTGACTATACGCACTTTTGTTGGCAGGGTGACACATCCATAGAGATGTCCAAAAAGGCAAGAAAAATGGCCGCCATCCAGGGATTGTCGCCTTGACCTTTCACACCCATCCTCCCCGCAGAGGCCTGTGATCCTATTCCATGGGTTTAGCTAACCAGAGAATCTGCCCTGGCTGGAAAAGGCCGGGCTGAGCCTGCCAATCTTACCTGTGTTCGTGAGGTATGGTCGAATTCCAGGCTTGGCACTCGATCCCACTTTTTGTGACCGATATATTTCCCCTGTAGGTTGCTCCTTTGCCAATGATACAATTTCGGATGTAGTCTGTTAAAAATCAGCGAAACAAAGACAGATGACTGGTACCTTCCAACGTCTGTTTCGTTCAAATGTCTGTGGATGTTACCTATTGGGTAATGAAACATCTGCAAGAAAACTCCTACTACTACTCCTTTCTCCTCCTCCTCCTCCTCCTCCTCCTCCTCCTCCTTTCCCCTCTTTCTCCTCCTCTTCCCTTCTCCTCCTCCCACATCCTGCTCTTTCCTCCTCTTCTCTCTTCCTCCTTCCTCCTTTCCCCTCTTTCTCCTCCTCTTCCCTTCTCCTCCTCCTCCTCCTCCTCCTCTCCTCCTCCCACCTCCTGCTCCTTCCTCCTGCTCCTTCCTCTTCTTCCCTCCTCCTCCTCCTTTGTCCTCCTCCTCCCCCCTCCTCCTTTCCCCTTTCTCCTCCTCTTCCCTCCTCCTCCTTTTCCTCCTCCCACCTTCTGTTCCTTCCTCCTCTTCCCTCCTCTTCCCTCCTCCTCCCTCCTTTCCCCTCTTTCTCCTCCTCTTCCCTTCTCCTCCTTCTCCTCCTCTCTCCTCCTCCCACCTCCTGCTCCTTCCTCCTCTTCCCTCCTCCTTTCCCTTCTCCTCCTCTTCCCTCCTCCTCCTTCTCCTCCTACCTCCTGCTCCTTCCTCCTCTTCCCTCCTGCTCCTTCCTCCTTTCCCCTTTCTTCTCTTCCCTTCTCCTCCTTCTCTTCCTCTCTCCTCCTCCCACCTCCTGCTCCTTCCTCCTCTTCTCTCCTCCTCCTTCTTTCTCCTCCCTCCTCCTTTTCCTTTCTCCTCCTCCTTCTTCTCCTTCCTCCTCTTCCCTTCTCCTCCTCCTCCTCCTCCTCCTCCTCCTCCATCACCACCACCACCATCAAGCTTAGAGAGCCCCAAGGACCCCACACAGTTCAACCCTGTACTACAAATATTCTCTTCCAACGATGGAATGAAAGATGCTTCAATAGGAAGACTGAAAACCCTCATCCTCTTCCACCTCATCCGTAACCCAGAGTTATGACCTGGTCCCACCTGCTCTGCATAATCACACGAAACCCTTGTCCAACCCCCCCCCCCAAAAAAAATTGCCTTAGCTCCGCAGCATGGCTAATCCAAGTTAGCCACTTACCTTTCTTTTCGTAGAGAACAAAGGCGTTGTCATGTTTCTTCCTGACTCCATTTTCTAGGCTAGTGAAAGATAACCAGTGGCAACGTTTGTCTGTTTTGTCAAACGCGAAAGCCCTGGATAGAAAATAAAATAAAATAAATTGAACAGTTAACTTTTACCAGGATATATAAGAATAAGAATAAGAATAAGAATAAGAATAAGAATAAGAATAAGAATAAGAATAAGAATAAGAATAAGAATAAGAATAAGAATAAGAATAAAGTTGGAAGGGATCTTGGAGGTCATCTAGTCCAACCCCCTGCTCAGGCAGGAAACCCTATACCATTTCAGACAAATATGGTTTTCGTTATCACATAATTAGATGGGAGAAAATATCGTTATCACATAATTAGATAATTAGATGGGAGATGATTAGATGGGATAATAATTAGATGGGAGAAAATATCAGAGATTAGGTAAAATTACTATAACTTCACATAATTCTCTTCCTCCCTCTTTTGCCTCCTCTTCCTTCTCCCCTCTTCCTCTTCTTCCTCTTTTTCTTTGTCTTCTGCTTCCTCTTATTTTTCTTCTTTCAAGAAAACTAACATTTGCAGTGAAAGTCTACTTTCATTACAATCTGTAGGGCAGTTTTTAATCTTAGCAGACCAGTAAGACTTTGTTATGTTCAAAATATCTGGAAAGTTTACAATGCACCATGATGCTTTGAGCAAGCTTCAGATCCATCATAGCTTTGCTCAGCCGACGAGAGGGATCCGAAGTGTATTTTCTTTGAATACAAAGATGTTGTACCTAATAGACTGAGAAAACACAACTTGAAGAATGTAAACAAGCCTTTTCTTTGGGCTTCACTCCAGCTGGACCCAGGAGAAAGGAATGAGAAGCTGCCGAGAATTTAATTTATGAGCAGGGGAGGTCTTGGTGATCTATCATTGGGAGTTTTGACTCTGATTTCGAAAATGATCACATGGAAAGGAAGTAGGGTTTTTTTTAAAAAAAAAAATCTGCAGAAGAGTAAGCTGTGTGGGAGTTGAAAATGTTACCGATAATTGGTAGAGTCGTATTATTCTTCGCTTCTTCTGAGTCTCAACCAATTAAGTATCAGTTACATCACAAACAACTTCTAGACGTAGCCCAGAATCTGTCATACTCAAGAAAGTTTGAGAATCTCAAGCTTTTTATCCACCCCCTCATGAAGTCAATACTCTAAGCAGAAAGTATTTGTTACTTCCACGGGAATTTTTTTAGAACAAAGCTATAGGCTTTGTTTTCATTTTTTTAACCATTAAATGCACGAAAAACCCAACTCTCTAACACTCAATGCAAGGGAAAAAAACATCTTGCTGTGGCCATCTTGCTGTGGCCATCTTGCCATGTCTAAATCACCATGGCCAACTCAGCAAGGCCATCTTGCTATGGCCAACTCATCAATGCCATCTTGCCATAGCCAACTCACCATGGCCATCTCACCATGGCCAACTTATTGCAGGACAACTCATTGTTGCCAATTCATCATGGGACAACTTACCATGGGACAAACTCAAATGATAAAATGTTATCCTCCCACTGTTTCTTCAAAATTATCTTCATTTTTTGTCCCTTTCCCCCCAAAAAGGACACATTGTCTAAGAAACAGTGGCGGATAACATTTATTGTGTTGAGTTATCCTGCATGGAATTGTCCCATGGTGAGTTGGCCATGGCAATATGGCTGCGTTGAGTTGGCCACAGAGAGTTGGGCCATTCTGGGGGGAGGGGGAAGATAGTGTCAATGCTGCTAACATCGGATGTTTTGCATTGACAACAGATGGAAATGTAGCCATCCTTTTCCCTTTCGCTTTTAGAGTTAGATGATGCTGGGAGGTGAGGGGGATGTGAATGAGAGTCTACCTAGACATAACAACACTAAACGTAGCGTGAGAATCAAGGTTATTGAGCCCAGAGCTGATAAAGAATTAGCAAACTGGAGAACTGGAGAGGAAGCCCGTGGTTCAAGCTAAATGGGGAATGTGATTTATGACTGTTAATTGGAGGAGGGAATTGTGCTTTGATACTATGTGCCCAGGGGAGGGGAATTCAGTTTTTGGCTTCGATTATGTAGTGCCGATATTATGCTACTCGAATAAAAGATTCTTTAAGGTAAGTAAAACAATGCCTCGAAGTTCTTTTGAAGAGTTTCATCTGTCGGAAACATGACAGATAGCTTTGTACCATCCATCACCAGTAAGGGACCTGAAAACAAAGTCATACAAATGTCTAATATTGGCTGCCAGCTTCTCCTGAAATGCTCTGCTAAAAAGCAGAACCATCAGAGGGCAAAATTCCTTACTTGCAAATGAATAAAAGTCCTTTACTTCGG